CATTTTGTCTTCCAGGCCTGAGATTCTGTCTTCAGCATGGTTGACTCAATGAGAGAGATTTTCAACTGAACATCTTATTGTGTCTTTCATCCAAGATTTTTTTCAATATTTCAATCTCTTTATTGAATTTCTCATTCATATTCTGTACTTACTTTCTAACTTCAGTTGTTTTTCTGTATTCTTTTGGAATTTATTGAGCGTTTTTATAATAATTCTTTTGAATTCTTTATCTGATATTCCATCCACTTCAATATCTTTGGAGTCAGTTGCTGGTGAATTATGAATTTTAGGAGATTCCATGTTATCTTGTTTTTTTTCATATTTCTTGTAGTCGTGTGTTGGATCTTATGCATCTATTGAAAGGGATTTCTCTTCCACTCTTATGAGTGGGCCTTTTTAGGGCACAGTCTTCACTTGCCAAAGTGTCCTAGAGTGATCTAGATTGAGACCACCTCATAGGTATGGTATTCTGTTTTTGCTACAGCAGCAGATGTCCATAGAGGGGGACCTTGGGGCCCACTCCTAGCTGTTTCTACTTGGAGCTTGGTCATCAGTTTGGGTGTTTGTCTCTTCTATTCTTTGTATTATAGATGAGGATTGAGTATTAATTTGTGTGTGTAGCAAGGTGCACTGTCTTTTGGTTGAGTGTAGTTGAGCAGCAAAGTTTCTACAGCAAAAACAATAACTATAAACTAGACCTGGCATTAAAGAAAACAACAGGTGTCAATTATGTCATCCACAGCAGTAATATTTGCAACAGCACTAATGGTTGGTTATATAAACCAATCAGTTCTAAAAGATGGTAAGAGTAGAGCTAATTAAGAAAATAAATGTTACAGGAGGTAGTAAAGAGTTTACTATTTCAAAAAGTGAACAGAGAGAATAGCAGAAAAGATGTAGCAGATGATGGTTATAACAAAGGAGGAAAAAAAAGAGAAACAAATGAAAACAAAATAAAACGAAAATATACAATCCAAAACCCTAACCCTCAAGAGATAAGGCAAGGAAAAATAACCACATTAAAAAATGCTAAAAAGTAAGGAAAATAACACATATGTTCATGAACCACTCAGCACAAAACACACACACACACACACACACACACACACACACGTGCATAAAAAAAGAAAAAGGATTTTTAATGAAAAGTGAAGGAATCATTTCCACTAAGATGGTCAAAATAATCAATGAGAATAATGGTCATTGTCTATGCCCAACTTTCTTTTTGGTTCTTCTGGGGGTTGTTAACCCCATTCCTCTTTTTACTTTGCTCTCCAAGTTGCCAGTTGGAGTGGCTTAATACTGAAACTGGTTCAAATAAGTCTCAGCTTATCTTCTCACCTGTATGAGGTAGGATGGGTTGGGAATTACTGTCAGTTGGAGTTTTACCTGCACCGACCAGATCCTTGTACTCCTAGGGTGAGGCTGCTGCAGAGTTCTATGAAGGAAGTTCTGGGGTCAGGGCTTAGGTCTAATTGGGTCTCAGGGGCTTTGTTGGGTGGTATCCGCTATGGAGAGATTAGATCAACACACCCCTGGGGCCTAGCAATTGCCAATCTATTGGGAGTATGGATCTCAGGAGCCTTGTAGGGCAGGGGAACCAATCTTCCACACACTTTGCTGCCCATGTACACAGTCTTCCTAGGCTTAGTCCCTGAGTGTATTCACACCTGCCCATTCCGATGCCAGACCAGTTTCAGCTGGTCACGTGAGCTGCCAGAATCAAAGGAGAAGTGAATTGGGTTCCCCTTTGCTTTTCTGATTTGCATCCTCCTGACTGATATCTTCTCTGTGCCTGTTTTGCTCCCATTCTGCTAAGTACATCCTAGGCACTTGCTGGGAACCTATGGTAGTGTTTGCTGTAATCTCACAGCTTCACAGCAGTAGCTACAACTTGGCTGCCTCAGGTTGGCTCCTGCCTCAGCTCTCCATGGCCACTTTAGAAACACAGCATTTTTCAAACACCAGACTAGGCTGCTTTTCTGATCTCAGGTTTTTCAGTACTAAATCTTTCTGTTGTGTCTCCTCCTATGTTCTCCCTCCATGCTGAACCAGCTCCACTAATGCTGCTACTACCATGTCAAAACCAGCTTGGCTTCAATGTAGTCTTTCTGATACTGGTCTTGAAAACCAGATTCCCAGTGTTGAGGATTAAACACCTGAGAAACACCAAGGCAAGAGGAGGGGACCCAGAGCTGGTGCCCATGGGAGTGGAGGTGTCTTGCATTTTTATAGTTGTCAGGTTTGCTACTAAAAAGCAGGAAAAGAGCTGCCCAAAGGGTAATTGCTTGTGTTGGAGAGTGCAATCTTTCTCCTCCCCTGGAGGTGTTAGCAACTGATTGATGAGGAACTCTATCTACCCATTTCCTTTTTCTTTCATAATCAGCTACCTGTCCTTTGCCCCAGTCTCATTTCTTCTTTTAATGTAACCACATTTCTGAGTCTCTAAGAAACTCTGTCCAATATTGAGTTTTAGTGAAATGCCTCTTTCATGCACCTTGCTGAGAAGCAATATTCCTGCTGCATGAATCCCAAGTCACAGAGTAACCACAAATGCAGTCTTCCTCTAATCTTCCATCTTGAATCAATCCTTCAACTTATAAGAGCATTACCCATTCATGAAGGTAGAGTTTTGGGTTCATAACAATCACTTCCCCAAAAGCTTTACCTCTTAATACTATCATATTGGGTATTATGTTCCAACATATGAATTTTGGAGAGATCAATACAAACTATAGCAACAACACATCAAAATCTATGATATACTTAGGAGGCAATACACAAGCGTATGTAGGAGGAAAGCTGAATCAGTAAATGACTACATTTGAAAAGAAAGTCTCAAATCAATGATTTCAGCTACCATCTTAAGGAGTTAGAAAAAGAGCAAATTGAACCCAAAATAAATAAAAGAAAATAATAAGAGTGGGATATGAAGATATTTTTGTATATCCATTTTTATAACAGCAATAATAGTAATAGTCAAAAGGCAGAAGCAACCCAAGTATCCATCTGTGGGTAAATGGAAAAACATGGTATAAACATGAGATGGAATATTATTCAACTTTAAAGAGGAAGGAAATTCTAACACATGCTACAACATGGATGAAACTTGAAAATGTTATGCCAAGTGAAATAAGGAGGTCAGAAAAGGGCAAATACCATACAATTTTACTTGCTAAGCAGAGAAGTTGGTCACAGAGACAGAAAGTAGAATGGTGGTTGCCAGGGGCTGGGGGAAAAGGGGAATGACAAAAAGTTACATTTAAGGTATTTAACTTGATTTTTTTATATACCTACATATTGTGAAATATTCACCATAATCAAGCTAATTAACATATCCAACATACCACAGTTACTATTTATTTAATTTTAATGGTGAGAACCTTTATGTTCTACCCTCTTAGCAAATTTCAAGTAAACAATATAATGTTGTTAACTATAATCACATTGCTGTACATAAGATCTTCAGAACTTGTTCCATCTTCATAATTGAAACTTTGTACCCAACATTTACCCTGTTAACCCTCCCCTACCCCATGGCAATCACCATTTTACTCTCTGCTTCTGAGTCTATTTTAGATTTCATGTAGTGTCTTTCTATGTCTAGCTTACTTCACTTAGTAAAATGTTCCTCCATGTTTACCCATGCTATCATAAATGGCAGGATTTATCTTCTTTTAAGGGTTAACAATATTCCACTGTATAAATATACCGTATTTTATCCATTCATCTATTGATGGACATTTAGGTTATTCTCTTATCTTGGCTATAGTGAATAATGCTACAGTATACAGAGGAGTAGAAATATCTGACAGATTGACTTAATTTCCTTTGCAAATATACCCAGTACTGGATCAAATGGTAGTTCTACTTTTAATTTGCTAAGGAACCTCTCCATTGTTTTCCATCATAGTTTTGATAATTTTTATTTTTACAACAATGCACAGGATTCTATTTTTTCACATCATTGTCAATACTTGTTATCCTTCTTCTGATTATAGCCATTCTAGCAAATGCAAGGTAATATTTCATTGTGGTTTTAATTTGCATTTCCCTAGTCATTAGTGATACTAATTTTTTATAACCCATTGGCCATCTGTATGTCTTCTTTTGAGAAATGTCTGTCTGGGCAATTTGCCTATTTTTAAATCAGGTTGTTTGCTTTTGAGTTGTTTGAGTTCCTTATATATTTTGGTATTAACCCCTTATCGGAGGTAAGGTTTGCAACTATTTTTTCCCAACCTACAGGTTGTCTTTTCATTCTGTTGACTGGTTCCTTCTCTGTGCAAAAGCTTTTTTAGCTTGATGTAGTCCTGCTTGTCTGTGTTTTGCTTTTGTTACCAATGTTCTTGAAGTCATATCCAGACCAATATCAACAAACTTTCCCCCTGTTTTCTTCTAGTTGTTTTATGGTTTCAATCTTTTTTCAATTCAGTTTGTTTTATAGGTTGAAAAAGTTGGGATATGGGCTCCAGTGATAACTGTACAATGTGGATGTAATTAATACCCCTGAACTGTATTTAAAATGGTTATAATAATAAACTTTGTTATATATATTTTAATACAGTTTATTTATTTTTTTTAGAGAGTGAGAGAGGAGAGAGGGAGAGAGAGAGAGAGAGAGAGAATTTTTAATATTTATTTTTTAGTTCTCGGCGGACACAACATCTTTGTTGGTATGTGGTGCTGAGGATCGAACCCGGGCCGCACGCATGCCAGGCGAACGCGCTACCGCTTGAGCCAAATCCCCAGCCCTTAATACAGTTTTAAAAAGGACAAGTAAAAAGAATGTTTAAGATTGGTTTTAAAAGTTTTATTTTATGTTGTCTAGCCTATTTAATACATACTCTGTTCATCTTCTTTTTCAAATCCCAGTCAATCTTCAAAATCCAATTCTAATTCTTCCCTAGATTTAAAATAATGTAACTTTTAATTTTCTGGATCCCAAGAAATATACTGCCTAAATGAGTTTATTTGGCAATTAATCATGTTATACCATGAAGAATTAAATATATGAATTTATTTATATTTGTTTTGACTCTTGCAATACACTGAATCTTATTTGAGGGAAATGGCAATATCCTATTCTTGTCTTCAAGCAAGAAGACAGGCTCTAGAGCTTATACCTGGGTTTGATTAATGATGTATTTTTAAATATTCCATTTTTATCTCGTCATACTTCTTCTTTCACTTGGTAGATCCTAGGCCTGCCTTCCTTGGGCTCCTCCAGATGACAGGGATCCAGGCATGTGTTGTAGTTCTGGATTTCTTTCAAGGCCAATGGCCGTGGGGTGGGTATGGGATTATGCTTTGGTGAATCAGTGAGCCACATGGTATTAGGAAGCATCCGCAATACACTAGATCATAAAATATGTGTATGGAATAAGATGCTTGCCCCTGACTCATGCCCATGCCACTATCATTCCCTGGCATAGGATGGCATCACTATTGCACCATCCCCTAGTCTTCGAGAGCCTGGGCGATCAGAGAGGGGGCCAAAGAATACACCACTTACCTCTGGCTTCCTGAGAGGGTGCCTTTATTACATGCTGATATTCACCACAGTCATTCCTTAGAAGAATACCGTGGAAGAGTTAGAATGTAAAGACAACTGTTGTAAGACAACCCAGAAAGCAACTAGCTCCAGTTCCAAGACCACATGTCACAGTTTCTTGTTTGCCTATCCCTTTGAGAGGCACTGTTTATAGAAAGCCTGGTCCAGAATGGTTATGTAGAAAGCCTGGATGACCCTTCTGTATGACTTCTGGACAACTCCTCACCATCACCAGCCTAAGGCACACAGAGGAAGAGGAAGAAGAAGAAGGAGACAGGTGTGGCTAATTTTTCTTTGGTTGAATTTTAAAGGAGGATGTGGTAGAATGTAGTGTTTCAAAGGATTCTTCGGAGTGTACTGATGTGATCTCTTGAATTTGTGTTTCAGATGAGTACTCTGTGGAGGGCATTGCTAGCTCTGCTAGCTCATCTGTCTTCAAGGAGGTAACTGTAGTTTGGAAGGTGGACTCGCTGTTATCCTCCCAGGGGGATGCTTGGGTATGTTTAATGATCTCCGTGGACTTCACTGATTTATCATCACTATCAATAGGTGTCAGTGGTGTGATCTTGTTCTTGGGAGCTTGTACAAAATGGAAGCTTTCTGGATGTTTCTGTACATTCCTGGTTAAAGCCGGCTGGAGGGGTACAGGAATCCAAGGAGTTTGCGCGATTCTGGCAGGAGGCTTTACAGGTAAGCGTGAAACTTCTCCATGCTCGTTGTGTTCCCCTGAGAAGCTTGTGCTGGGACTATCTGTGGGATAGAAAAGACACAAATATAGATTCCTCAGATGTCACTTCTCCATCTCTGCCAGTCATGCATGAAATCCAAATCATCTCTCAAATGTTAGCTCCTCACTTACTCAAAGTGCTTTCTTCCAAGCTCTCCCCTCTTTCTCAGATTTTGTACAAATTTTATTATGATCCTAGAAATCATCCTAGGACTGGCGCTGTTGCTGAAGAGTCTACTATGAGGCTCTAGTTTACTATGGAGGCCCTCAGAAGGCAAGGACTAACATTTGCTTACAGTTTATGTACTTCACAATCATTGGTTGCAAATCAGTTTAAACAGAAAACTGAATACATCCTCAATTAGAATGGGGGCTTTTTAAGGGCACAGCCTATGTTTTGTTTGCCACTAAATACAGAGTGAATAAAAGTGTCTGTCATACAACAAATGCTAAACAAATAATTTTTGTTTGATAGAAAGAAACAAGGTAGAGACTTTAAATAATATAATTAAAAAATTGAGACACTAATCCTTTTGTTTAAGGAAATTAAAAACTAGATGATATAAAAACAAGAAAATTTCTTAAAACTATCAAAGAGTTTAGAACATGGTGAGAAGAACTATGGAGCCAAAATCTAGCAAATGAGAATCTGAAAAAGTAAGCCTAGAATGCTTAAGTTATTTTTGCCCTGAGTATATCTGAATTTTCAAGAAACATATGAGCTTAATTTTTTTTTTGTTAGCTACAAAGGAAGAAGGGGATTTTTATTGGACTTGAACTGACTTTGTAGGTCAATTCCATGATAGCTAATATTAGCTTTTCTAATTTATGAACATGATATATTGCTCCCAATTATTTAGGTCTTCTTTCAGTAAATTTTATAGTTTCCAGTAACTATACCTTCCTTTGTGAGGACTTTCTAAAAATTTTTTATTGGTGCATTATAATTATATATAATAATAGAAATCATTATTACATATTTGTGCATACAATATAACAACAAATTTTGGTCAATTTTGATCCCCAGTTCCCCTTTCCTCCTCCCTCTTTCTGGTCCCCCCTCCTTTATTCTACTGGTCTCTGTTCTATTTTCATGATCCCCCACACTCCCCACTTTCTCTCTTTATCACAACATATGAAAGAAAACACATGACTCTTGCCCTTCTGAGTTTGGCTTGTTTTGCTTAACATAATGATCTCAAGTTCCATCCATTTTCCTGCAAAGACATAATTTCATTCTTCTTTATGGCTGAACAAAACTCCATTGTGCATATATACCACATTTTCTTTATCTACTTGTCTATTAATGGGTACCCAGCCTAGTTCCATAACTTGGCTGCTATGAATTGTGCTACTATAAATATCAATATGCATCTTTTTCTATAGTATGTCGACTTTAATTCCTTAGGATAAATAATAAAGAGTGGTATGGCTGGGTTATATGATGGTTCCATTTCTAGTTTTATAAGGAATCTCCACAGTGGTTGTACTAATTTATAATCCCACCAACAGTGTAAAAGTGTTCCTATTTCCCCACATTCTACCAAAATTTATCATTATTTGTATTCTTGATGACTGCCAGAGTGAGATGAAATTACGTGAGGACTTCTTTGATTAAAGCCTATTTAGTCTGATATTAGTATAACTACTCCTCCTTGCCTCTTCATTTACTATTTATGTGGAATATCTTTATTCATTTTTCCACTTTCAATTCATTTGTCTCTTTGGATCTAAACTGAGTTTCTTGTACAACAGCATATAGGTGGTTCATGTTTTGCCAAATTCATTTTGCTAATCTCATTTTTTAGGGCAGTTTACATTTAAAGCAATAATTACTAAGGAGGGATGTCTGTCACTGTGCTACTTTTTTCCACATGCCTTATAGATTTGGTTTGTTTTTCTTTTGGTCCCTGCCTGCATTTCTTTGCCTTTTGATAGTTCTATTCTAATGTGTGTTGGTGTGAATTTGAGTTCATCCCACTTGGAGTTCCTTCAGCTTCCTGGATATTTATACTCATGTCTTTCATCAAAGGATAATAAAATTTAAAAATTTCTAGTGACACTGATTAATAGTTTGACAATGAAGACACAAAATTATTAAGGAATATGATTATGATTACAGATGCTTCAATTATCTATACTAATGAATGTCCTCAGAGATGAGACATTATATATACTTTTTTCCGACAAATATGAAAATTTAGATCAGCAGGTCTTATACCATCATTTAAGAACTTCTGGAGGTCTGTAAGACCCTCTTCTGGGGGGTCTCTAAAACCAGAGTTACCTTCATAATAATACTAGTTATTTTCTGTTTTCTTCCTTATTGTCTCATTAATGTTCAGTGGAGTTTTCCAGAAGCCACATGACAAGTGATATTACAAGAGACTGAATTTAGAAGCAGAAATTAGAATTCTTCTCCTTTATTAATCCAGACATTAAAGAGATTTGGAAAATTTTAAAATAATACACTTTCATCATATTTTTGTTTCGTGGTTATTTTTCTAAAAATTATATTTATGTTTTACAGAATAGATTTTTAAAAACTATTTTTAAATCAATCAGTACATGTTTGAAAATTTATAATATGGTAAATAATGACAGATTCTAGATGTGCTAAGAAGTAGGAATATATGATCTGTATCCAGAAATATCAGTTAATATAAACAGATCCAGAAAAAATAGAGATGATGAGACCAGTAAACAAGAATATTAAGACAGTTATTTTAACTATGTTCAGATATTTAAAGAAAACACAAATACAATAAGAGAAATATAAAAAGGACCAAAAAGAACTTGTAGAGATGAAAAATACAATATTTGAAATGAAAATTTTCCTGTTTGAAATTAACATCAGGTAAGATTACTGAAGAAAATATCAGTGAAGTCTAATATAGGATGGGAGGCAGAATGCTTTGTTAGCCTCCAAGTTTCCTAACTTCCAGTATACATCCCTTGTAAATCGCCTTCCCTTGAGTAGGGTGAGATCTGTGACTATAATGGGACGTGATAAGTTTGTTATATGATGAAAACAGTGAGATAGTTGCTTCCATGATTACATTATATTACAAGACTCCATCATAGCAGACTGGAGAGATGGTCTCTTGTTGACTGAAGAAGTAAGTTGCCAAGGAACATATGGCTAGGACTTGAGGGTGGCCTCTAGGAGATCAGAGCAAAACTGCCAATAGCCATTAAGAAAGCAAGGATGAGATGTCAGTAATATAAGGAATGAAATTGTGGTAACAATTAGAATACTTGGAAGGGGACCCTAAACCTCAGAAACATTTGCAGCCACATTGTTATTCTGATTTCAGGCTGGTAAGACTCTAAACAGAACTTTTCTAACCTATAACTGTGGCACAATAAATTTATGTTTTTTAAGGTTTGAGGTAAGTGAGGTAAGCAACAAAAACCCCTAATATACACGATAGAATATACCCACAATGAAGCAAAGAAATTATAGGCTAAAAATAAAAATGATCAGAATCTCAGTATTATCCTGTATCACCTATAGGATAATGTCATACTCTCTAACATCCATGTAATTCGAATCCCAGAAACAAGTGAAGAAGAGAAAGGGCATACATTTTTTTTTGAAAAAATTAAAAGACTGAAAATTTGTTCAACCTTATGAAAATTACTCTGACAAATGTAAGCACTTGAGCAAACCCTAAGCAGGATAAAAATATGTGTGTGTGTGTTTAGCACACACACCTCAAAAGTAAATCATAATCAAATTACCAAAAATCAATAATAAAAGGAACAATCTTAAAAAGCAACGAGGGGGGAAAACATATTAAAATAGAGCAAAGAAGACATGAAATAGAACAGAATAGAACAGAAGACATGAAACAGAAGACGGTGAGAGAAGTGCATTATAGTAGGAACCCTGTCATCAGCAAGTACATCACTGCCCATTTTGGAGGTGGTTGTGGTTTAAGATGTGATACTCCTGAGGCTCCATCATCCTTAACTTGAATGGATCTAGGCTCTGGTGTTTGCTGAGGTCCTGGCTTCTGTCTAGTCTTCCTTGTTCTTTCTCTGATTTTAAACTTGGCCCAACACCTTCTATGTGTTTCTTGGAGATACCCAAATAGCTTTAAAATACATTTTATTTCTGCTTAAAGCAGGCAAAATTGAACTCTCAGGCATCTTAAGATCTTTTAAAACAGGGAACATTTTAAATTTGTTTTATTTTTACATCCTTATCATCATTTCAACATGGCAGGGAATAGGGACAAGTTAACTTAGTACTTCTAAGGCATTTATAGCTATCTCCTTCATCCAAACTTACAGTTTTTAAATTTTTCTTTCAAAACCTCTCTGCACGTTTCTGAAGTATTTCCATGCTTAAATCATTTCTTGGATGGATTATTGTTATAGACTGAAATATTATTTTGCCTTCACCAAATTTATATTGAAGCCTTAACACTCAATGTGACCATATTTGGAAACAGGGTTATTAAGAAGATAATTAAGGGTAAATGAGGTCATGAGAATGTGTCCCTATTCTGGTAGCACTGATGTCTTTAAGAGGAGGAAGAGATCTCTCTTTTTACAAACAATCACACAGGAAAGGCCTATGAGGATGCCTGGGAAGGTAGCTACATATAAGCTAGAAAGAAAGCTCTCCCAGAAACCAAATTTGCTAGCTCCTTGATCTTGGACTTCTAGCCTCCAAAACTATGAGAACACAAATTTCTGCTGTTCACACCACACAGTCTATGTTCTGTTTTGTTTTGTTTTTTGTTTTGTTTTGTTTTCTGGATTGAACCCAGAAATGCTCTGACACTAAGTTGCATTACCATCCCTTTTGATTTTTTAAATTTTGAGGCAAGATCTGGCTAAGTTGCTGAAGTTGGCCTTGATCACAATCCTCCTGGTGCTGGGATTATAGATGTATAGCACTGTGCTTATCTTTTTTTTTTTTCTCTGAACAGCAGCCCTAGTTTACTAATACAACTATTTATAATGATAAACAGCTGGAATACAGCCCTCAGACTTCTTAACATAGCCAGTAGAATGATCTTAAAATCCATGAAACAAGGAACTGAGATCTCCCTGCTACTTAGAAATTTAGATGAACTTGGCTTAAAGTTTTATAAAGCACATAAGATAAAGACCACTGAACTCCACTTAATTTATTCAAATTTCTAAACTAAGTTTTTCATGGCCCTGTGGATCCATTCCCACAATCCTAATTCAATCCTCTGCTAGCTGGTATATAGAATCTTAGGATTTTCAATATTGTCCACAGAAATGAAATTAACTCATGATTTTATGACTGCACCTTTACTTAAAGTCTAGGAACTATGGAAGGAAACAATAAACCATAATGCAATTTCTGCCTAATTGGTTTTCCCTCTGACATTGCGCTGGTTTCCAAAACTATTACCTCACTGTGATTATCCTCACAACCCTCTGAGAAAAAAGTTCTAGCTTCCCTTCCTTTCGCTGGGTGTATCTCACTTCCTTAATCACATATGACCTTACCACTCATATGTTTGAAACACATTTGTCACCTCCTGATTGCCTGAAGCGCCATCAAACATCTTCACCCCTACTGGGCATGGTAGCTACTCTGCAGCCTGGACCTAGGTGCCTGGCTTAATGTGTCAACTGATAAGCTGCCTGCTTCCTCACTGCTCTCTCTTAGGCCACCCTTCACATTTTCATTTATCTTCAACTTCTCCCAGCGCACCTGGCATAAAGTTGGAACTCATAATTGTGTGATGCATGAATATATGAAGAAGTAAACACATTAACACTTATGCTTGAAATCTTCCAACGGATCTCATTACTTAGAAGATAAAAGCCTAAAATCTGAAGCTTGATATAAAGGGTCTTCCAGAATCTCTAGCAGCCTATGTAGCCATCCCCTATTAGACAAATAACATCCTCAAACTCTGTAGATGCTCAAGTCTCTTGTATAAAATAGATATATAATGCATACATATCCTCCCATGAAATTTTAAGTCATCTCTAGATTACTATCAATACTTAATATGATATAAGGGCATATAAATAGTCTTTTCCTTGTATTGTTTAGAAATCAAAGTCATGTGCTGCGTAACAGTGTTAAGCTCAGTTATGGACTGCATATATGATAGTGGTCCCAAAAGGTCATAATAGAGCTGAAAAATTCCTGTCTTCTAGTGAAATTCTAGCCATCATGACATCAAAGTACACATTACACATCTGTGTTGATGTTCTTATAAATAAATCTACTGTATTGCTAATTTTACAATTATATCTAGTGTATAATACTTGATGATAAATTATTTATAATTTAATAACTATCTTATTAAATATATATTTAATATGCATAAAATATATATTTAAATATATCTTCTTATAAAAAGGTTTACCATAAAACAGTATGTCTTTGTTCTGTCAGCAGCCTCATATATTTCATGTTTACTAAGTCTCTCAATTGTATCATTTTCTCCTATGCTTGATTTAATACCATGTTGTTTTGTTCATCATGGTCCTAGGAGCACTAAGTTATACCATCTATACCATATACTATATATATGTGTGTGTGTGTGTGTGTGTATATATATATATATATATATATATATATGTATGTACTATATATTCTACCATACTATTCCTTATATATGCACACACTCCTATACTATATGGTGTACATATACATAAATAAATATAGACTCTACCTAGGTTTGTGTAAGTAACTCTATGATCTTTATACAACAATAAAATCACCTAACAAAGCATTTCTGAGACTGTATCCCCATTGTTAAGTGACACAGGACTCATGACATTAAAAAAGTCTACATGATCAATACAGACACAACTGTCGTAAGCCTGACTACATAATACACCTTAGCAACAACAACATTTTTTTCAAATATTTTCCAATGGAGTTTGGTTGAAACCCATGGATAAAGGTGGAACTGACTATACTTCCAGATTTCTTCCTGGTCCCTTCCCCCTAATTTCCCAGACACCCTCAGCTGTTGTCAGAAACACAAAAAGCAGATCCTGTCTCTTTGAAGCAAAGGAAGTGATGAAGGAAAGGAGTGGGTAAGGCCTTTGCTTTACCTGTGGGAGGACTGACACTTTCCTGCAGTTTTTCTTTTTTAATTTCTCTCCACCTAGAAGGAAGAAAACCATCCATAAACTCACAGGCCTTTTTGAAAAAAAGGCAAAAAATCCATGGCAGTGGTCAGAAAAGAAACATTATCTGATCAGATTCTCACATCAGCAGGTTTATGCTTCCCTCACTTTAAAGGTTAAATCACAAATCAGGTAATAATGGGGTCTAAAGAACCATGGTCTTAGGGCTGGAGATGTGGCTCAAGCGGTATCGCTCTTGCCTGGCATGCGTGGGGCCTGGGTTCAATCCTCAGCACCACATACAAATAAAGATGTTGTGTCCGCCGAAAACTAAAAAATAAAATAATAAAATTCTCTCTCTCTCTCTCTCTCTCTTTAAAAAAATAAAGAAAGAAAGAACCATGGTCTCCTCTAACTAACCTTCTTCTTCCAGGATGTCCCTTTGCTTTTCTAACCTTAAAATTTGCAATCCTATTGTATTTCTCCTGCAAGTATTCTCAAATGTCATTTTCTTTAACAGATAACTATAACCCGGAAAGGGACAGTGATTTTCCCAGAACTACCCAGCAACAAAAGAGCAAAGCCAGTTCCAAAACTTATCCTTCCCGGTCTGTGACCCTGGTCAAAATCCTGCTCTTTCATTTTGGCAAGTAGAAAGGTGGAGGCACTTGTTCTAGACAACCCCTATCCCCTCCCAACTGCTCCACACTGAATCTATGGTAACAGACTTGATTAAATGTTAGAGAGGGTCCTTGTCCTGAAAATATTATCTTGTGTTGAAAAGAGGAAGGTGTGGCAGCATAAGAAGAACAAGAAGTTCAAATTGTAAGGCCCATCTTGCCATGTATGATTATAGGAAGAGTATAACTGTTTCTTCTAAATTTCTATAAAAATCCATTTTTTTATTTGAACAAAATTCATTTAAAATTATAAATATGTACTTACCAGCAATAAAAAAATATAGCAATAATGAAAACTGCAGAAACAATATCTGTGAAAAGCCATATGAACAGATACTTTGTTGGTGACTGCAAAACATAAAACAAACCACTGTTAAAGAACTTTACAGTTGGAAGGAGTTTTAGATGCTATGGGCTAAGTCCCTTGCTCTGCTGTCTAGGCTGGAAGAAGAGAAGAAAGGGGCAGACTAGGTAAAGAAGACTTTATAGATGTGGCAGTCTCAAACACATTAATTATTAGAAATTATGCAGCTATTCTAAGTCATTGTCACACACATGCAGGGGATATAGAAAGGACAAAACAGTATTCACCCTTCATCTCTAATTTCTCCCCAAATGGCTTAACTATAAGTCAGCAGTGCTTGTTACTGTAATTGTTCAATGTGATTAAATTTTGCTCACATCTATAAAATGTGAGTGAAAAAAGTATGTCATTATTTTACTCAGTTTCTGTGTTGCTATGACCAAAAGAACAACAAGAACAATCTAGAGGAGGAAACATTTATTTTGTTTTAGAGTTTCAGTCCATGGTTGACTCACTCCATATCTCTGGGCCAAGGTGAGGCAGTACATCATGGCAAAAGGGAATGGCAGAGTCAAGCAGCTCAGGACATAAGTAGAAATAGAGAGAACTCTTTGCTCACCAGGAACAAAATATAAGCCCCAAAGTCACACCCCAGTGACCTACTTCCTCCACCCATACCCACACTTACCTACAGTTACCACCCAATCAATCCATATTTGGACTGATTCACAAATTAGGTTATACCTCTCATAACCTAATTATTTTATCTCTGAAAATTCTTGCATGGTCTCACACATGAGCTTTTATTGGGGGCAACTTATGTTTAAACTAGAATAGTCATCTTCAAGAAAACTAAGTCAAATGAAGAAAGACTAATTCGAAAAATAAACTACAACTGGATTTGGTGTGGGTGAAACACTAAGAGTAAGATAGGGAGACTATAAAAATCTTGGTGGATTCCTCATATCAATTGTTTCTCTCAGTGACTTTATGTTCTTTTTCTGTTTTAAAGAAACAAAAAATTAGAAAAACAATAGCTAGTTCATTTGGATGTTTGAATAAGCAAGAGAACATAGAACTCAATCAGCTTAAATATCCCCAAAGACTTTACCAAAACATAAATGAATTTTAAATCCAAATAAAATATGTGAATTATATTTTATAAACTATTGATAAAAAGAACCACAGTATTCCTTTCAAATCTATAAAAGCCCCTTTACAATATGACTTGGCTGTGCCCCCTCTGAAATGGAAAAAAAAAAGCTTTCAGAAATACCAGCATCATTTAAGTAAAAATATACTTGCCAAAGGAACAACTTTGAGACATTATTGATTCAGGGAGATAGGTATAGAGCATGTATTGCTTTCTAAATTATATATTTTCATAATGACTGAATTTCATATAATGAATTTTAAAAACAATAATTTTTGTAATCAATTTTAAAAACCAAATATTAGAAAAATATATTGTGTACACATTAAGGACAGTTTATAGGAACAAGTGGGTAGAAAGGCTTCACTTATGCTGATGGATCTGTCATCCAAGGTTTCCTTCATTATTATCTCCAGAAAGTTGCTCAAGTCATCAGAGAAAAAAGGAGTCAGTGATTCCATATTTCAACCAGTGGGCTTTAATGCAGTACCTACCCTATGAGACTGTCAACTTACTCTCTATATAGATAAAAAACACAGGCTAGCATGGTGGCACATTCCTGTAATCTCAGCTACTCAAGAAGCTGAGGCAAGAGGATTGCAAGTTTGAGGCCAGCCTGGACATCTTAGTGAGACCTTGTCTCAAAATAAAATAATAAAATATGGGGGACTGGGGATGTAGCTCAATGGTAGAGAGCTTGAACAGCGTGTGCAAGGCCAGATTCAATCCCCGGTACCACAAAGTGTGTGCGCTCTCTCTCTCTCTCTCTCTCTCTCTCTCTCTCTCTCTCATATGGTAACTGGTTAGCCAAGGTTCCAAGGAAGACAAGTGAACACTGGTTCACCTCTTCAGAAGAATTTTGCTTGAGTCATGTACACTTGGTTTTTCTTTCCACATCCCATTGCCACTGTTGCCATACCTCCAAGCAAGGCAGGACTACAAAAAAAAAAAAAACCCTCTACAGTCAGATCTAATTATGAATATTACATCATGAGGTCCTGTGCAGAGACATCTTGGAGCTCATGGGGATAAAAATAATAGTGGCCTATTCAGAGGGCTAAGTTACAAAACACATTGTAAAGATTCAATAAATAAAAATCATAGAAGGATCTGGGTGAAAGAATGGAGAATGCCACATCTCCATTATTTATAGAAGTCTTTGTTTTTAAGTAGCTCTTCCTCGGACTGCACAGTGGGCAACATAGGGGAGGGGATATAGACCACTATTGTACTAGGCTTAGAATAATCTGAACAAGCGGCTTACCATGAAGAATTGAGGGTGATTAAGCTGACTCAGGAGTGGAATGTTGTCTGTGGTCACTGAGTTAATCCTGGAGCACCAGGCTAGTGAGTATAGCCAAGGCTCATTGACAACGTATAAATTGATGTTGATGTTAGCGGCTTTATAATCTCTGGAACAAAAACAGAACCCAGAGGGTATTTAGATCCAGTTTAGCTCTCAACATCTTAAAGAGAGGAACAGCCACCATGTTTGTGAAAGGCTGTTGCCTAAATCTGCAGTAGTTCATCCAGAGACAAGATTCAACTTGACAGAAAGGTTCATGCAGAGAGATGAAGGATTAAATCTAGTAGCTCTATTTCCTATAGAAACAGTGGTATACTGGTAAATTAGATTTCTTAAGGGAAATTTAACAAAAGAAAAAGAAAAAGGAAAGCCTTATTTGGGGCATTTTAAAAGTTTCATGGTGTAAATATTCCTACTCCAATTTCAAGCTACCACTGGGGAAATCAATTCCCAGTCTCTGACTCTTTAATAGTTGTCTTCTACAAGCTAGTATGAGGTATCTCTGGCACATATTCATGTAACACCTGCACTTAGCTGTATCACTCACCACCCCTACTTTAATGTATTCCAGTGCTTATGACCCTACCCCTACTCCAATGATCTGATCACCTACTAGTCTTCTTTACTTGACCATCAGCAAGTTAAAGAATACTGTCTTATTCACCCCAGTATATTCAGACCTAGTATAATACCTGGCTCCATAAATATTAGTTGGGGGCACAAAATAAATATCAATCTGATGAATGTTTTAAATTTCAAATATAAAGAATTATTATAAGAATTGGATTAAAGGGAATAAAACTCAATTTGTCTCAAGGCACTGAATGTTAGTAGAAAATTGTACACTGTCTATAGAGACAGGAAAAAAGTAAAGGAGCACTTAATAATTCTACCAGGTTGTCATTTTTAGGGATTCAGTCCTACTCTGAAAACATACTGCATTGGTACCGTCAAAAAATTTTTTTTTAAATGCTGATATGGTATGTCATATTGGAAAGTGCTCGGTGCAAGCCTGTGTTTGGGTCCCAGCTCTTAACATTAGCCTGGCAAGCTCTTAGCCTCAGCACATAAACTTTAAATAATCTTCTACTGCCAGTATTACTAGAAATTAATTTATAAGAACTACCTCTAAGAAAATTCTACAGGCCACCTTAAGATAAATTTTAAAAAGAAAAAAAGGAAGGCTGGGATTGTAGCTCAGTGGCAGAGCTCTTGCTTAGCATGTATGAGGCACTGCATTCAATTCTCAGCACTGCATATAAATAAATAAATAAATAAATAAATAAATAAATGTCTATCAATAACTAAAGGGGTGGGGGAGGAAAAGGAAATTAGGCAACCAGTAGTAAAAAGTTACTTCTTGTACTTTTTGAAACCCAAACTCAAAAACCAATCCTATTTCTCTATATTAATAAGGAATATACAGAAACTGAAATTAAAGACAATACCATCAATAATCACTTGAAAGAAAACTACATATTTAGGTACAAATGTAAGAAAACAAGTATAAGCTCTTATGTTGAAATTACAAAATAGTAATAAAAGAACATTTTAACAAATGGGCTGGGGCTCAGTGGTAGGGCACTTGCCTGGCATGTGTGAGGCACTGGGTTCAATTCTCAGCATCGAATATAAATAAATAAAATAAAGGTCTATCAACATCTAAAAATATATATATTAAAAAATATTAAAAGAAAATGGAGAGATGTGTTCATGGATTTCAATCCAATGCGATAAAGCTGTCAACTGTCCCCAAACTGATCTGTAAGTTTAATGTTAGTTCTATAAAAGTTCCAACAAAGTTTTTTTGAATAATTAAGCCAGCTGATTCTAAATTTTTTATGGAAAGGCATAGTCCTAGAATATTAAAACAATCCTTGAAAAGAATAAAGTGAGAGGGAATCACTTTACTGGGTATTAAGGCTTACCATATAACTTATGATTATCAAAACAGGCCACATAAATCAGTGGACCAGAACAGAAAATTCAGAAACAGACTTACATAACTATGACTAAATAATTTTTGACAAAGGTATAAAAACAATCAATGAAAGAATCATTTCAACAAATGATACTGAAGAGCTGGATGGCCATAGGTCAGGAAAAAAATATATCAAAATCTCAACCTAAACTCACACTATATATAAAAATGAACTAAAATGGATAACAGATTTGAATGCATAAGTAAAAATATAAAACTTTTAGAAAAATATAGGAGAAAATCTTTGAAATCTAGGGCAAAGCAAAGAGTTCTTAGACTTGAACTAAAAATATGATACATCAGAGTGAACGTTGCTACTAAGTTGGACACCATCAAAGTTTAAAAAAAACAAAATAAAGTTTTACTCTGTGGAAGACCTTGCTAAGAAGATGCTACAGATAATATTGGGAGAAAATATTTGCAAACCATATCCAACAAAGAACTAGAATCTAGAATATATAAAGAACTCTCAGAATTCAACAATAAAGAAAAGAAAAACACATTTTAATGAAAAGAACATACCACTAGAAAATTAGGACATCAGATGTTCAACATCATTATCCATAAAAGAATAAAAATTTAGACCACAATTATGTCACTCTATATCTATCAGAATAATTAAAATACAGTAACAACAACAAAAATTGGCAAGGATGCAGAAGCTCTGGATCGAATATTGCTGGCAAAAATGTAAAATGGTATTACCTCTGAAAAAGTCTGGCAGTTTCTTATTAAACTGGCCAGGTAATTACCATAACCCAACAATTGCATTCATGGACATTTATCCCAGTGAAATAAAAACTTGCATTCATATACAAATCTGTATATAAATATTCATAATAGTTTTATTTGTAACAGCTCATAAATAGAAACAATTGTCCTCAAGTTAGTGAATGATTATACAAACTTAAGTATATCCATCCATACTATCACATACTACCCATAAACAAAAAGAAACTAATATTAATAAATCGGAGACTTGGACAAATCTCATGGGAATTGTGCTAAATGAAAAAAAAATAGCCAATCCCAAAATGTTGCATGCTGTATGAATTGACTTGTTCTTGAAATAATATTACAGAAATTTTGCCATGAGTTAGGGTTTGAGGCAGTGAGGAAAGAAATAGAAGGAAACAGACTTTGGTTATAAGAGGACAATACAAGGGATAAATGTAGTGATGGTCTGTATCTTGGTGGTGGTGTTGGATCCACAAACCTGCACATCTGATAAAATTGAAAAGAACTGTCCCTCCACCCCCAACATGCATCATGGCCCAGTGATTTCTGACAAAGGTGCCAAGAACATACTATGTGAAAAGAAAGAATAGAATTAAGAAAAAAATCACATAATCATCTCTATAGATGCTGCAAAAGTGTTAGATAAAATTCAGCACCCATTCATGATGAAGAACAACGAAGAAACTAGGAATAGAAGAATTTACCTCAACATCATAAAGGTTTTATAAGACGAACCCAAAGCCAGCATCATACTTATTGAGAAAAACTGAAAGAATTTTCTATAAAATCAGGAAAAAGACAAGGATGTCCATTCTCACCACTTCTATTCAATATAGTACTTGAAATTTTAGTCAGAGCAATTAGGCAAAAAAGGGAAATAAAAGGGACATAAATAGGAAAGAAACAAGTCAAATGATCACTGTTTGCAGATGATATGATCCTATATTCACAGGATCCCAAAATCTCCACCATAAGACAGCTATAGCTAATAAATAAATTCAGCAAAGTAGCAGGATAGAAAATCATGATACAAAAATCAACTGCTTTCCTATATTACAATAATGAATCTTCTAAAGAAGAAATAAGGAAAACATCTCCATTCACAATAGTCTCAAAAATAAATACCTAATGAAAGTTATTGAACACTGAAGAAAAAAATTAAAGAAGACACTAAAAGATAGAAAGACCTCCCATATTCATGGATAGGTAGAATTAATATCGTTAAAATGACCATATAGCCAAAAGTAGTCTACAGATTCAATGTAACCCCACCAAAATACCAATGACATTCTTCTCAGAACTAGAGAACACTGAGTTAAAATTCATATGGAACAGTAAAAGATGCAGAATAGTCAAAGCAATTCTAAGGAAAAAAAAGAAATGCTAGCTGGGCACAGTGGCACAGGCCTGTAATCCCAATGGCTTGGGAGGCTAAGGAAGGAGGATCATGAGTTCAAAGCCAGCCTCAGTAACAGTGAGGCACTAAGCAACTCAGTGAGATCCTGTCTCTAAATAAAATACAAAATAGGGCTGGGATATGGCTCAGTGGTCAGGTGCCCCTGAGTTCAATCTCTGGTACCAAAAAAAAAAGAAGAAGAAGAAGAAGAAAAAGAAAAAAGAAAAGAAGGAAATGCAAGAGGTGTCACAATACCCAGTTTTAAATTATACTACAGAGCATTAGTACCAAAAACCGCATGGTACTGACATTAAAAACAGACACATAGACTAGTTATCTGATCCTTGACAAGGTGCCAAAAACATATTGGCATATTCTCCCCCAGGAAAAAATGCACCAACACATTCACATTTCTTTTTTTTTTAAAAGCAAATGACAAAGATCCAGTTTACCAGCTTTTTTAAGCCTAAGCTTAACATTACTTTAAACTTTACTAAGTTGCCAGCATTCATGCACAACTAGAAAACATACTTAAATTTATATTAAACCAGAAATGTATTACCATTAATATATTAATATCTTTCATTACTAAATACTGGGGAAAAATCCAAATTATTTCTATAGAAGACTCATACTGGCAATGTTAGCTCACAGCAAGCTGACACTACTACTTGGCTCACATGGCAAACACAATGGAAAGCATATCCATGCTGGTGTTAGGATACTATCTTGTCCTAGCACTATTCAAAGTCAATGCTCACCTTGGATTATGTTTAATAAAAAAGCAAACTGCATTCAAATATTACAATTTTAAAGACAAAAAAAAATGGTCCTACTGTGTGATCCTAATAATAAACCCAAAAGTCTATGACAAATAGGGGCTCTGATGAGCTGTTTATAAATAATTTAGATTAGGTACAATTTTACTGAAGTCAAGTTTGTCTGAAATCTTCAAAAAAAATGTTCCTGTTAATCCTCAAATGGTGCTTGA